TAAACAAGCGACTTCCACCTTAAACCACACCATATACATCCTGTCATCCAAATCATACCAACATTCCAAGCATAAGAAAATGTGCAATAAAGCAAGTAATACGAAAGGATAACTAAATTTCATTGACTTTGCGAGTAAATTTTGCCATTTACATCCTTGTTCAAATTTTTCTAGATCTCTTTGAATAAAGCAAAAAATTTTATACATAATACTTTTTCAAATTAGCTATGTTCCATGACCTGGCAAGTGATCGGCCTTCAGCATCCTTCAGCGAGTACGCTCCTCCTGCGTGTACTCGCTCGACCAGGTATGGTCCTTCCCAGTTTTTCTCTAGCTTCCCCACATGTTTGAGCACGTCGACACGCTTCCAAACCAGTTCGCCTACTTGAAGTCTGCGAACTTTCACTTTTTTGTCATGAGCGGCTCGCATCCTCTGCTTGTATGCCTCCACTCTAATCGTTGCTCTTTCGCGCAGCTCCTCAATGGTGTCTAAAGCCGCCATCATCAACTCTTCGTTTTGCCTCGGGTCATATGTGCTCGATCTTTGTGATAATAACTCGACCTCCACTGGCAGTCATGCTTCCACCCCATAAACTATACTGAAGGGAGTTTCTCCTGTTGTCGACCTCGGGGTTGTGCGATATGCCCAAAGTACTGAGGTCAACTCGTCGACCCACGCCCCCGAGGCCTTTTCCAGCCTTGTCTTCAACCTGTTCAGTATGATTCGGTTGGTTACCTCGACCTGGCCATTGGCTTGCGGATGAGCGACAGATGCAAAATGTTGCTCGATCTTCATGTCCTCACACCATGCTCGAATCCGCTTGCCATTGAACTGAGTGCCATTGTCGAAAATCAAAACTTTGGGCACGCCAAACCTGTAGCAGATGTTCTTGTATAAAAATTTGATTACTTTCTCCTCCGTGATCTTCGCCAAAGGTTCGGCCTCTACCCACTTTGTGAAATAATCCACCGCCACTATCAAGAACTTCCTCTGTCCAGTTCCCTGCGGCATCGGCCCCACCAGGTCGATACCCCACTGGGCGAATGGTATAGGGGCACTCATTGTCGTCATCGTCTCTGTCAGTTGATGGATAAGTGGGCCATGCTTTTGGCATTGTAAGCATTTCTTCACCATCGCCTTCGCATCCTCCCTCATCGTTGGCCAGAAATGTCCTGCCCTCAAAATTTTTGCAACCAAAGCCCCTGACATACTATGGTCACTGCAGCACCCTTCATGTATTTCTCTCAGCACATATCGACCTTCCTCCTTAGTAACACAACATAAATGCGGTCCCGCATACGACCGCTTGTGAAGAACGCCTCCATCCTCAAAAAATCTCCTCACCGCCTTTATCACCCCTATTTTCAGCTCCTCTAAGATCGGGGCCCTCTAATCCTTCACTTCCTCAATCTCCGCCACTTCCGCTTCGACCACACTCTTCTCTAGATACAATAAAGTAACACTTCTGCTCTTACAGTCCACCAAGCTTTGAGCAATTTTCGATAACAAGTCTGCCCGACCATTCTCTCCTCGAGGGATCTATATCAGCTCGAATGAGTCAAACTCCTCTTTCAACTTCCTCATCTCGTCTACATATTTCTGCATCCAGTCCTCCTTAACTTCAAACCCATCCCGAAACTGTCCAACTACTAGTTGAGAATCAGAATGTACTTGTACTTTTCGGGCTCCTCCCGCTCTAGCTAAATTCAAACCTTTGATCACCGCCTCATACTCGGCCTCATTGTTGGATATCTTGAACCCCACCTTGGCCGAAAACTCTAAGTAATTGCCCTTAGGAGAGACAAGGACAATTCCCAATCCTGCCCCACTTCTTGCCACAGATCCGTCCACAAATAACTGCCATACTCCTTGTGACTCCTCCCCAACCTTAGTGCCTTCCTGGATAAAATTGGCCAACACCTGCGCCTTTATGGCCCTCCTCGGCTCATACGACAAAGAGTATTCACTTAACTCGACCGCCCATTTTACCAATCAACCAGAGACCGATGGCCGGCCAAGCGTTTCTCCTAATGGCATGTTCGTTCGCACCTTCACCCTATGGTTCAAGAAATAAGGTCTCAGCTTTTGAGCAGTTACGACCACAGTGAAAGCACACTTCTCGATCTCCGAATACCTCATATCCACCCCCTGCATCACCCTAGATGGGACATTGCGTTGTCCCTTCCTCCCGCAATAACACCGAACTTACAGCCCTCTCTTCAATAGAAATGTACAACACCAACTCCTTGCCCTGTACGGTTTTAGCCAATAAGGAAAGCTTGGCTAACACCCCTCGCAACTCCTCAAATGCCCTCTGCGCCTGCTTCGTCCATTGAAATTTCGTACTCTTCTTCAATGTTTTAAACAATGGGCCACTCTTTTCTGCCACTTTCGATATAAAACGACTTAGTCCTGTGATTCAACCCGTCAGGATTTGTACCTCCTTAACATTCACCGGCAATTTCATCTCCATCACCGCCCGTACTTTCTCTAGGTTCACCTTGATACCTCTCTTGGTCACCAAGTAACCTAAGAATTTCCCCAACTTTACTCTGAACTAACACTTAGCATGATTCAATTTCATCCCGTACCTCTTCAAAGTCAAGAACGTTTCCTTCAAGTCTCGCACATGATCCATTTCCTCCTTGCTTTTTCACTAACATATCGTCCACATAAACATTCATGTTTCTTCCCAATTGCTCCTTAAAAATTTTGTCCACCAACCTCTGGTACGTAGCGCTCGCATTTTTTAAACCGAATGGCATCACCACGTAACAGTAAGTACCTTGACTTGTCACAAAGCTCACCCTCTTACTATCTTCTCTCGCCAAGGGAATTTGATGATACCCATGCGAGGCATCCATCAGACTCAACAACTCACATCCGGCAGTTGAGTCGACCAGCTGGTCGATTCTGGGCAGTGGATACAAATCCTTCGGGCATGCTTTGTTTAGATCTCGGAAGTCAATGTAGATTCGCCACTTCCTCTCTGCCT